CTATAATTTTTTTTTTTTACTAAGTGAATCACAAAACGATAATTTTATAATATTATCATATAAAATAATGTAAAAAAAAAAAAAGAGAGAAGGAAAACAAAAGTCATCTTCTTTTTGAGGAAATGGTGGCCAATGACTGGTTGACTTGGCCCAATTTTGAAAATGGCCTTTGTCGAGACTTAATTTATATATAAAAGATAAAAGATAAAAAAAAATTAAAAACTAATGGAATCTCATGAACTAATTGATTTACCTTTAACTGATCGGTTTTGGTTTTGGGTAGATAATAGTGACCTGATTCATCTTGTCGAATTTGTTGGCATCAACCAAATAAAAGAAATTTCCTCCACTTTTTTTTGACACCTCATCAATTTGTAAAAAATTATATAAACGATGATATACAAACAACATTTTCTATAAAAATTAATAGCTATATAAGATAACTTTAGTCATTCTTTTTGCCGTGTATCCAGCCCCTTCAAATGCAGTGGAAGTTCCTACCATTATTCGTTGCCATTTATGAATTAAGGTGAAATTAGTTGCACTAAAATACGTAAATTGACTCATAAGTAAATAAAAACTAAAAATTTCACATATTATTATTAAAAATAACTAAGAATAAAAAGTTTACTTATTAGTAAAACATCAGCAAAAATTTCAACAGTAATTAAAAACTAAAAACTTCACTTAAAATAGGAAAAAAAAATATTTTTAAATAATAAACGTCGCTTTGAATATAGATTCATTTTTCATAAAAAAAAAAGGCCTTATGTATTCTAAAAGAAATTAATTATAAGTGAAAAATTCATTTATAGGTAATAATTTGCATATAAGTAAAAGTAAAATTTCACTTATAAGTTAAAAAAGTAACTTATAACTAAAAAGATCTCTTATAAGGAAAAATACGCTAATAAGTAAAAGAAATACTAAAATAAATAACAAAAATTCACATATAAGAAATATAGTCACTTACGAGTACATTTATGCATAAGTAGGAAAATTATTTATAGAATTTTAAAATATTTTAATATTTTTTTTATGTTTAGTGCTTGTATATTTTTCTAATACAATATATACCAAACACAGCAGTAGAACAATTCGCCATAATTCTATATGTGATGTACCAAGCATGTCCTTAGTGAATCGTAAGCTCAGAGGAAGCTTAGAAAGAAAATATATGGAAAAAAGTTCTACATTTTTAATATTATTATTATTTTTGGATAAATTTTGTTGAAAGCAATTAACTTCCTCAACATGGTTAACTTATTTTCTAGAATTTAGGTTTCTTCGAGTATATGAACACATAAGTTACTAACTAAAATAAGACGGTTATTGAAAAACATCAATTTAATTGTATTTCCATAATGAGTCATATGTGCCAAAGATAACAGCAATTTAAATATGATTTTTATTTCCAACTACGTCACTTCTTCGCTACTATTTTGGGATGATTTTTCCAGCAACTCTTGGATTTTATCGACCTCTCTCGCTAGAAGAGTTATTAAAGTAGGTCGTTCCTTAATATCATAAGGATTAAAATTTTCGTCCCCTAAGTAGATCCGACGAAGAGTTTGCATAAGAGAAAGAACAGCAAGAAAAGCCATTTCAAATCTCAGGAAAAAAATAATAATAATAAATTTGCTCAAGCAAAGAAATGAAAAGTCATTACTTCTTTCTTTGGTCGGTGCATTTTGAGTTGGATTATCTTTTGACAAATCCTCCATAATCCAACTCATACACAGTAAATTCATTTTTAAAGAATGCAATTATTGGTGAGAAGGCATTACAAATAATTCCATGTGTACACATAGAATGATTTCACACTGTCTTTAGTGCCTGTTTGGCCCCATTAAATCACATCATTTGTCAATTTTCAAACCAATGCAGGGCCCAATTGTCATACAATTCAAATTGTGGTACATGCGTGTCACAAGAGGCCAAGTTAATGTGGCAGCCCAAAGTTACGATGTGCCCTCCCAACTACTCCCTTACTTTTGACAAAGGAGGGTGTTTTCGTCATTTGGACCAACATTCCACTTGAAAAAAGGGGCTCCCTGCAAAATGTTCAGTGATGTCGCAGTTGTGGAGCCCACTTGAGTCAAAAAAAGAGATTGAAAATTGGCAAAAAATGTAATGTAATGCGTATCAATTGGGCTAAAAAGACGCACAGACCTCACATGGGGCTGGCCCCTCCCTCACCCCGAAAAATGAACCATC